TTCAACCGTGACCCTCGACCCCGTGGGTGCTACCATGTGTGCAACCGTCGCCACTTTCCTGTGCCCCGATTGATGTCCAGCGGAGCAGGGGCACACGCATACCACATATAACACCCTTCGGATAATACGGATGTTGTGTGTGGGGGGGCGAGGAAATTGCATTTCGACATTTCGATGTGAATTTCGATTGCAATTAGAATATCATGCCGTTTTCTGATTGCGATTTGCACATCGATTAGCGATTCGACTTGCATCTCACTTCCATGTCGATTAACATTTCGATGCGCATTTCGATTGGCACTTGATTTCCAACTCGATGTTCATGTCAATTTGACTTTCAATGTACAATCCGATGTGCAGTTCGATTGACGTTCCGATTGCAAGTTGATTTGCATTGCAATGTGTGTTTCAATTCTGACTTTAGGTATGCAGTCCGAACTGTCTTGCGATTTGTACTTCGAATTGCACTTCGATGTTCATTTATACTTGCGATTTGATGTGCGTTTCGACTTGATATTTGGAATTGCCTCCTATTTTTCTCACGGATCACATGTGGGACAAGCCACGGGACGGCCACGGAACCATCCACGGGACAACCCAGGACACAACCACGGGACCATCGCGGGACAAAAACACGGAACAACCCCTGGGACACCCCAGGGGCAACCGCAAGAGAACACACGGGACGACCTAGGGAACAACAACAGAACAGCCACAGACCAGCCACGGAACAGCGACGGGACAACCACAAGACAACCCACGGGACAACCCACGGGGTAACCCACGGGACAATCACGGGGCAACTCACGGGACGACCCGTGGGGCAACGCAGCCACCGCGCGACACCTGAGGGCGGCACGCTCTGCCCGACTTGGCCCTAGCCTCGGCCGACACGTCGCTGCCCTCGCGCAGCTCTGCCTCGCCCGCACGCACGACATGCACCGAAACCGATTACGCGGTTGAGGTCACTTCGTTATCACCCCCCCAGACCTCCCTAGAAGGATAAGCAACGCGATAAACATAAACTTTTGGCGCTCCACGCGGATTTCTTGGATCCGCGCTGGACCCCCCTCCCTGGCGCGCTCCGCGCGCCAGGGGCGGCGCTGGAGGCGCCGCTGGGGGGGGGGGCCAAGTGCGGATCCAAGAAATCCGCGCGGAGCGCCTAAAGTTTATGCTTATGGCGTTGTCTCTTCTTCGAACCCCCCAGACCTCCTACCCGACTGCTACCCTCGCCCCGCGAGGTGCTGCCGGGCGTACGACTGTCGCCACTCTCCTGTGCCCCTGGCAAGCCCAGCGGAGTGGTGACATACGCAAGCACATTTGCTGCCCTCGGCCCCGTGGGTGCTGCCGAGCGTGGAGCTGTCGCCCCTTTCCTTGAGACCTCCGTGGGGTCCAGTCCCCCGCGACTCTGAGTGCGGCCGGGCGTGCAAGTGCCGGCACCGCTCTGCAACCCTGGGTGGAGACAGTGCACTGGGGACATGCGCGGATCAAACTGTCACCTTGGCCCCCTGGGCGCTGATGCACAGATGTCATTATTGTTCTGCGCCCGGGGGTGGGTGCGGTGAGCGGAGTGCGGCAACTCGCAGGCTCAATCACTACCCGCGGCCTCTCCTGGGCAAGCGTACAGCTGTGACCACGTTCCTGCGCCACCAGGGGGGGGGCAGTGAAGTGCGGTCATACGCAGATCAAGCTGTGATCCTCGGATCCCTGGGTGGTACCACACGTACAAATGCCGCCACTGCGTCCCTGTGGAGTCCAGCGGGGGGGGGATGCTTCCATACTGGGCACTGCCAAACGCATTACCTGTCGCAACTGTCTTGCGCCTCTGGGGATTCCATCGAAGTGCAGTCATACTCAGATCAATCTAGACATCTTCATGGGCGCTGCTGGACATACAACCGTTGCCACTTTACTACGTACGCCCCTGGGGTCCAGCGGAGTACGGTCGTACGCGGATCCGAAGACCCCACCCCTCTGGAAGCCTTCAGCCGCACAGCTGTCGCAATTTTCCCGCGCTCATTGGGGGTCCAATGGAGTGCTTTATTGACCCTGCCCTCTCTCAATGTTTCCAAACGTGCACTTGCAGCCATTTTGACTCGTCCATTGGGGTCCAGCGGAGTGCGGCCATACGCAGATCAAGTTACCACCCTCGCACCCCTGGATGCTGCCAGGCGTAGAACAGTCGCCACTTAACTGCACCCTCTCGGGGGTCCAGCACAGCGTGGTCATACGCAGATGAAAATGATAGTATCGCCCCGTGTTTGCTGCACAATTGTCGCTACGTTTCTGCATCCCTGGGGGGTCCAGCGGGATTGGCTACAGGTAACATGCGCAGATCCAGCTATTGCCGCTCGCCCCTGCCTCCCCCCCCCTCTGGGTGCAGCCAAGCGTACATCTGTCGCCATTCTCCCACGCTCATTGGGTCGTTCGGGGTGCGACCATACGCATATTAAACACTCCTGGGCGCTGTCACCAGTACAAATGTTGCAACTCTCCTGTGCCCATGTAGGGGTCTAGCAGGGTGCGGTTCCAGGCAAGTTAACATCTGACCCTCGTCCCATGGGTTTTGCCAAGCGCACGAACCACACATATGTTGTGCCACAACACGCACCTCTGTCCGTGTCAGCCACGGCATTCCGCGAAGCAGACGCCTCTGCATTCTCATTACGCCAATGTCTGCTCAAATGATGTGATACAAAAAGGCGATGGCTATCGTGACCAGATGTGCTACCGCTTGAGCCGCGAACCATTCATTGCGCATCCGTCCACGCACGTAGGCACGTCGGACTTTAGTCTCTGGTAGCTCCCCTGCCGCAAACATGTGTCTTCGTCAACCTTCCCTCGCCTCCCGTCTCTTCCCCACCGTGTCGAGTACCGAATAGACCTGATCGCAACGCGTACGATGGAGCTGGTAACTCGCCAGTTGAGCAGCCGAGGCAGGCTCGTCCAGCACCTCCCTCACCCAACGCAGTGCTCTAGTCGTGTCAACACAGAACGTATTCCCCGCTGCTTAACTATCCATCAACTTTCCTGGCCGCTGCGTGGCCTCATTCTTCATCCATCTCGTCCCCCTCGTCTTCTCCAACTACCCTCCTCCTCCTCCTCCTCCTCCTCCTCCTCCTCCTCCTCCTCCTCTTGCTGGTCCTTCTCTGCCGACTCGCCGAACCTGCCAGGTGGGACCCCCCACGCCCTTCAGACAGAACGGCTCCCGCCCCAACACCATCGCTTCTTCGCCCTCCCCCCCCGCGCCCCTCCCCCCACCCCCACCCCCACCCCCAGCCGTGCTCGGCACCGCTTTGGGCGGCTCCTGAGCCAGGCCCCAGCACTTCTTTTCCGCCGGCGGCGACACAGAGGCGGTCGCCGCAGGCCCCCACACGCAGGGGGTGGGCAGAGCTTCACTCCTTCGTCCGCCCCCGCCCTCCGAGCGCGTGCCCCTCCCACTGGGGCCGCTCCAGCCGTCAGGGCAGCAGCGGCTCTGTGCTCGTCCCTCCTCCTCCTCCTCCTCCTCCTCCTCCTCCTCCTCCTCCTCCTCCCTCCTCCCCTCCTCCTCCTCCTCCTCCTCCTCCTCCTCCTCCTCCTCCTCCTCCTCCTCCTCCCTTTCCTCCTCCTCCTCCTCCTCCTCCTCCTCCTCCTCCTCCTCCTCCTCCTCTCTCCTCCTCCTCCTCCTCCCCCTCCTCCTCCTCTTCCTCTTCCTCCTCCTCTTCCTCCTCCTCCTCATCATCTCCTCCTCCTCCTCCTCCTCCTCCTCTTCCTCCTCCTCTTCCCCGTCCTCCTCTCCCCTCATCTCCTCCTCCTTCTCCTCTCCTCTCGTTCCAAACGCAACGGCGGGGGCAGGTGTTGTCTGCTTCGGTCCCATCGGCTTGGTTTTGGACGGGATCGTGTCAGCAAATACTTCTGCAACAGTTGTGGCAACACTGCCGTGGTTCATGGCCATTAACATCATTCTGCACCGCCCCCCAACTAAGAAGGGGTGCCATAATCTCGCCAGACTTGCGCGAGGCAAGTTTTCGAGCCACGCTGGACCTCCCAAGACGGCTCTGGTGGTGGCGTTCGAGCGAGAGCGAGCGGTTGTCAAGGCGTAGTCAAAGAGCTCGTCGGCGGTTGTTCCCCACGCCAGATACCTAAGGCATCTTTGTTCCCCTCCTTATTCTTGTTTGATCCGTGCACGCTATGCAACACATTACGTCCAAAACGCTCCAACGGCGGGGACATTGAATGACACCTTGCTTTGGGGGGGCTTCTCTGTCCCATCGCGCCAACTATCCGTGTTGACTCCGCGTCAACTCCATGTCGAACAAATCGATTCCGCGTCGAATAAGCGTCGAATTCACGTCATGTCATTGTAGAATCCGCGTCGGACCCGAATCAGGTACAAGAACATATCGCAATTAGCAGGACGGACAAGGTCTCCCGAAAACGCAACGTAACCGAGGGGGCGAGAGCTACGGAGCCACTGGATAACTGATACGTGGCCTCGCGGAACATTGATGGCTTGCTGCGGGGAAAACCTACGGGCCGTCCACCCCGCCTTGGGGAATCAGGGATACGTGAAGACCTGGCCGTCTGTCCAATGCCTCCACTGTCAAAAGACGACTTTCCAGACCAAACACGACGCCCACTGATCCCCAGTGGCGCACGCATCACGACAACTACAAACACATCGAGCACCGTGAACATATCTGCTTTCGGCAGGGAAGCTCCCACGCAGACACTCGACATGAGACAAGGAAACGCCACGAACGCCGAGCGGTCGAACACGTGAGAGAACTCGTGGAAACGCGGCCGGGGCACTGCCAAGCTCTCCGGCGTGTCGTCCTGGCCACCCACGGGCCAGTCTGAGGAGGTGGAGGAGGAGGAGGAGGAGGAGGAGGAGGAGTAGGAGGAGGAGGAGTAGGAGGAGGAGGAGGCGTCACCGTTGCGGGCTGGACTCTGGCGCGTCTCCAGCCAGCCTTGCGGGCGCCTTCGGTCACTCGGCTGAGCTCTCCCCTGCTCTGTCAAGCCACCCGAGCTTAGCTCAACCTGCATCTTCGGTTGCGCTGGCGCGCCTACGTTCAGCTCGTGAGCCGCCTCAATCCATCTTATGTCGGGCACACGCTGACATGGATTACGGATCCGTAGATCTGGCGCGTGGGCGCCATATTCACGGATCGGGGAGAAACATGAAGCCAATTCCGCCTGATTTGGCGACTGAGCGCGTCGAACTTGAAAGGATTCCGCGCGGGTTGATTAATTTTCGCGCTTCCTCGAAAATTGTATCTCCACTGCGACAGCCCATTTACTTAGAAAACAAAGATACTGGCGTGCCTTCGCCTAACGTCGTCTGCTTCAACTTGCATGCAACATGCAACCACGAAGTTGAACAGAAGGCACTTGCGTCGCTGGGACTTGCTCACGGTTGGCTTGCCTCACTTAGCGTGCATCGAGGTCGAACAAGGTCACGCAAATTGTCCTTGTCTGCCTGTCGCTCAAAATTGTTTTGCCTCGGGCTCGTCTGATGATCGCTGTGCACCTACTGTCTTTCCCTATGTTCCGTCTATTCGCCCTTGCTTGTCTTTCGCACACCGCTCGTATGGATTCAACTTGCACTTTTTAAATTTATCTATAGATATGTAGCTTGCCGACCATCATCCTATCTCAACCCGCCTTGAGCTCGCCTCTACCTTTCCCCTGCCACCCCGCTCCCCAGGTCGCCCCCCCTCGAGCCTCGAATATGACCTCCCCTGTCTGCCCGCTCAACGAGGATGGACAAAGCAGACCACACCTCCTCCCCCTCCTCCTCCTCCTCCTCCTCCTCCTCCTCCTCCTCCTCCTCCTCCTCCTCCTCCTCTTCCTCCTCCTCCTCCTCCTTCCTCTTCCTCCTCCTCCTCCTCCTCGCCCTCCTCCTTCTCCTCCTCCTCCTCCTCCTCCTCCTCTTCCTCCTCCTCTTCTCTCCTCCTCCTCCTCCTCGTCCTCCTCCTCCTCCGCCCTCCTCCTCCTCCTCCTCCCTCCTCCTCCTTCTCCTCCTCCCCCTCCTCCTCCTCCTCCTCGTCCTCCTCCTCCTCCTCCTCCTCCTCCTCACCCTCTCCGGCCTCTCTCTGCGCACAGCTGCTCCGCTCCCCTCCTGGGATCCTCTCCGCGAGGCAGCGTCCCGCCAGCGCGCCCACGAGCTCAAAGCCTATGGAGGAGAGGCTTCCAAGAACATGGCGCACGGCAAAGCCAGCGAACATACGCGTCTGTGCGTCTGTGTGCGGAGTCAATTGACCATCCCGTGTCCGAAACACCTTGCGAGACCCTGCGCCATGTGCCGGGTATCTTGCTTCACGGACCTCGGCAAGCGGCAGCCTTCGGCGGAGCGCTATCCAGGGAAGTATAAAGGCGAGGGACAGACCACTACTGCCATTATCAGGGGTGGGTGGGCATTCCAACATCGGAAGCACTACGCACATGACCAAGGATGGGGCTGCCCTAACGCTGTCAAGACCGATGGCGTCTTGAGCCAGTGGTGCCATGGGGAGTGATGTGCAACTGCTACCTTGCTGCTAAAATATCACCTGCGTCCGTGGGAAACCAGGATACGCAATGTCTCCAGGCGGATGCAACACTGACAGCGCGTAATGAGCATTACGAGGGCTTGACCAAACTATAATTAGGATGTTTGGGGCATGTGGTTCAAATCTAGCACCATCGGACTGTCCCTTCGTAGAGGAAGAACGTAGGTCATATCATTATCAGATAATGTTCAGGTGAGCGCTGGGCACCTCCTCGGCACATGAGACAGACTGCCCTACGGCGTAAGAAATCCCACAGGGCAGCATGGACGCATGCGGTCGGCGGGCACCATCGTGGCCACAGGCCATGACAGATGCTGCTCTACATCTGGGCCATGGAAGCGCCCTCTGGCTTCGACGAGCTGTATGATGGTGCGTCGGGGGAGGTGTCACAATTGATGGCCGCACTGCGCTGACGCAGGTCTGGGCCGCAGCTCATATTGCTTCTTGAGGGGGAGAGAAAAAAAGAGAGAGCGCACCCAGGGGGACCGAGCGAATGGGGGGAGGCACTGCCCCATGACATTCCCCCCTAGCCAGTTGGGACGCTTTCGTTCCGAAGCCCCCCCCCATCCTCTCTTCTCATCCCTCGGTGGCTGCTCCCCCTTCCCTCTGTGTCTCCCCTCCCCCCCCCGACCCCCCCTTTCCTCCCCCTCTGGCCCCTGGAATATGCCCCTCGCCTTTGGGTCCCCCCTCGCCCCCCCCCCCCCCCTTCTCCCTTCTTGATTCGCCCCACGGGAGCTCCCTTCCCCTCCTGCCCTTGCCCATCCCTCGAAGCGCCCCCCCCCCTCCCCCCTCGTCTCCTTTCCCCTCCAGCCCAGGGACGCTCCTCCCCCTCCTCTCTTGGGGCACCCTCGTTCCGAAGCCCCCCCCCCACACCCCTCCCAATGTGTTCGCCCCACGGGAGCTCCCCCCTCCTTTGGCTACCCCTCCGAAGCCTCCACCGCTTCGGCCCCCAGAAACTGAACCCTGATCCGCACCGTACCACCATACCCTAACCCTACCGCGTAGACCACAGTCTAGGTGAGAAGGAGGTTTGAAGGGCATCATCTTTGTTCTACGTTGGACGCACAATTCAACTTACGAGTGGACACACGTCGGGACATCATATATACACACATGTGTATGTAATGCCGATTTGTCGAACTAGCTCTTAACGTATCTTCCGTTTTAGAGCACGATCAAACTACCAATTGATCTCACGAGTTATCACCCGGGGCCAACTTCGGGAACACCACCAGGGGTAACCATCGGGACAACTATCGACCTCATTCGATCGGTAATCCGGGGCTTCGCGCAGCTTCGGCTCACCCGCACGCCCGTCGAGCACGAAACGACATGATGTCCTAGCTGGGGGCGCCTCACGTTTCACTTCGATCTCACCCAGTCAACCTCCGATCCCTAACACCCGAACCCTAACACACTACACTGACACGCTAGTTAAACCATGGCCTTGACGCCCTAACCCTAACTCCCCAGGCTTGACACCCGAATCGTAATCCCTCCGCCCGCCCATTAACACCGTAGCCCTTACCCCACCACGCTGATACTAGCACTTTCAACCGAACACTCCAACCTTAAATATCAAACCGAACCCTAACACCCGAACCCAATCCGTAACACCCTGGCATTACCATCATAACCCTTATCGACATCCCATCCCAATGCAGCACCCTCATCCTAACACCCGAATCAAAACCCTAACGCCCGAACACCCTAAGCGAACTAACAATTTCACACCATGCAGCCATAGCCCTAACTTTAGCACCGTAGCGCACACACACACACACACGCCCTAGCACCCTGACCTTTAACACCCTGACATGGACACTAGCCCTACCACTTTGACCTTAACACCTGCTCCCTAATCCTGACACGCTGACCCTAACACCCGAATCCTAACCATAACACCCCAACCCGAAACATCAACGCGAGGAGCAGGAGGACCAATGTAAACCCAAGACTTAGCAACGATATTGGGATACACCATCCCTCTACTCTCCCTCTTCATAGGCCACATACAGAATTTCACTTCCACTGAGAGAAGTGCCCCGCTGGGAGACGGCCGTGTGACAATCCTGAAGCGTGAGAAGACACCATTATCAACACTTCAACGCCACGAGTCAACATGACTGTTGCGTCTGGACGATCTTGAATCATCACTGGGATCTCAACACTGCGGATCACAATAATCGTTGCGCCCTGACAGCCCTGAGCCGTTAGAACACACACCGTTGCTGGAAAACCACCAATGCACATCCGTGAAACCCTGGCAGTGTTTTAACGGGCGCAACCCCGCCATTTTATGTTCGGGGAATTTATTTATGGACTAAACAGACAACTGAATCACCAACGCCGCTGGGTGGCAATTTTGTTTCCGTTGGTACGGGTATTTCGGTGGCAGGTGACAGCCAGAGGGGGTGAGGATATTTCGCTGGCAGTTATAGGCCCAGGGGGTGAGGATAGTTAGCTGGCACTTGAAGGTCAAGGGCGGTGATGACATTTCGATTGCAATTTTAAGGCTGGAGTTTGACGAACTTTCGAGAGCAGTGTTAGGCCAGGGGGTGAGGATATCGGGCTGGCAGTTTTAAACCAGGGGGTAAGATACGTCGCTGGCAGTTCTAAGTTCAGGGGGTGAGGATGTTTAGCTGGCAATTTTAGGCCAGCGGCGGTGAAGATAGTTCGCTGGCAATTTCCAGCGAGGGGTGTGAGGATATTTTGCTGGCAGTTTTGGGTCAGGGGTTTGGGGCTCTTTCGGCGCCAGCTTTGATTCCAGGGGTTAAGGATATTTCGCTGGCAGTATTAAGCGAGGGTTTGAGGATATTCCGCTGGCAGTTTCAAGGCCAAGGGTTGAGGATATTTTGTTGGCAGCTTAAGGCCATGGGGTGGGGACATTTCGTTGGCAGTTGTATTCGAAGGGTGTGAGGATATTTCGCTGGCAGTTCAAGTCATGGGGTTGAGGATATTTCGCTGGCAGCTTTAAGCCAGGGGTGATGATATTTCGCTGGCAGTTTGAAGCGAGGGCCCTCGCCGAGGGGTGTGAGGATATTACGCTGGCAGTTTCAAGTGAGGGGTGTGAGGATATTTCGCTGGCAATTTCAAGCGAGGGGTGTGAGGATACTTCGCTGGCAGTTTCAGGCCATGGGGTGAGGACATTTCGCTGAGGGGTGTAAGGACCTTTCGCTGGCAGTGTTACGCCAGGGCGGTGAGGGTACTTCGCTGGCAGTTTTAGGCCAGGGATTGAGGATATTTCGCTGGCACCTGGTGTTGGCATCCACTCGCCATGTGATGCAGGGTTTGGTGTTACCCTGCCTGGCCCAGCCAAAAGCTACGCATGCAGCGCGGTGCTGCGCCCGTATATATGCTCGCTCCTTGGCGTGGGGCTGGCGGGGGGCCAAGGGGCGAGCTGTCCGGCGTTTAGAATGTGCGCGGCGCTACGGCGAGAACCGCATTTTGAAAAGGAACGGCAATCCGTGAAGCTCTTGCAAATTCTAAAACAGAATGTGCGCGGCGCTGAAGCGAGAACCACATTTTGAAAACGAACCGACATCAATCCGCGAAACCTTTGCCAACTTTGAAAAACGAAAGAAAGTGCGCGGCGCTAAAGCGAGAGCCACATGTTTGAAAACGGACCGCCCTTAATCCACGAACCTCTTGTAAATGTATAAACAAGAAATTCCGCGGCGCTACGGCGAGAGCCACACTTTGAAAAAAACGCCGTCAATCCGTGCAGCTCTTACACATGTTGAAACGACTGCGCGCGTCGCTGGGGCGAGAACCACATTTTGAACACCACCCACCCTCAATCCATGAAGCTCTTGCGCATTTCTAGTTTGCGGCGCTGGGGCGAGAACCGCATTTTGAAAACCACCCGCCCTCAATCCGTGAAGCTCTTGCGCTTTTCTACAACGACTGTGCGCGGCGTTAAGACGAGGGCCACATTTTGGAAGCGACCCGCCCTCCATCTGTGAAGCTGCTGCCAGCTTTTAAGCTTCAGGCTCAATGAGTGTGAAGGAGGTCTCAAGCGAAATACCCGGCCCGCCCTTCCGACTGGCCCCAAGAGTCATCAACGATGTCGGAATAAACCTTCTCTCCGAGCTCCCTCTTCATAGACTCCATACAACGGCTCATTTCCACTGAGGGAACTGACACGTTGGAAGACAAACGTTTGAAGAACCTACAGCGTGCCACAACATTTTTCTCGGGGCTCCAATTCCACGGATCAGCCTGACTGTTGCGTCTTGGCGATCCTGAATCGTGCCATAACTACATTCCTGGGACGTCAACACCGCGAATCCTGTATCTTTCCAGAACATAATTTCTGGTACGTTAGCCATCGGAATCCGTGAATCTCTTGCAAATGTTAAAAAGAATGTGCGCGGCGCTACAACGAGAACCACAATTTGAAAAAGAACCGCCGCCAATCCGTGAAACGCTCGCAAATGTTTAAAACGAATGCGCGCGGCGCTACGGCGAGAGCCACATTTTGAAAAGGAACCGCCCTCAATCCGTGAACCTTTTGCAAATGTTTAAGACGAATGCACGCGGCGCTGGGGCGAGAACCACATTTTGAAAACGACCCGCCCTCTACTCGTGAAGTCTTTGCAAGATTGCACAGCGGGTGTGCGCAGCGCTCAAGCGATAGCCGCAGTTTGAAAACGACCTGCCCTCCAACTGTGGAGCAGCTGCCAATTTCTAGGCTTCACGGTCACCGGTGGTGAGGAAGTCTCAAACGAAACGCCCGGCCCGCCCTTTCGACAGGCCTCGGGGTGCGACAGGGAACAATTATAAGGAAAAGGAATGGAGGAGGGGGAGGAGGAGGAGGAGGAGGAGGAGGAGGAGGAGGAGGAGGAGGAGGAGGAGAAGGAGGATGAAGAAAAGGAGGAGGAGGAAAAGGAAACGGAGGAGAAGGAGGAAAGGAGGAGGAGGAGGAGGAGGAGAGAGGAGGAGAGGAGGAGGAGGAGGAGGAAGAGATAGGAGAGGAGGAGGGGGAGAGGAGGAGATGAGGAGGAGGAGGAGGAGGAGAAGGCAGGAGGATGAAGGAGGAGGAGGAGACGAGGAGGAGGAGGAGGGGAGGAGGGAGGAGGAGGAGGAGGAGGAGAGGAGGAGGAGGAGGAGGAGGGAGGAGGAGGAGAGGAGGAGAGGAGGGAGGAGGACGAGGAGAGGAGGCGAGGAGGAGGAAGGGAGGCGAAGAGGAGGAGAGGAGGGGGGGGGGGGGGAGGAAGAGGCGGCGGAGGAGGAGGAGGGGGAGGAGGAGGAAGAGGAGGAGGAAGAGGAGGAACAGGAGGAGGTGGAGGAGGACGCGGAGGAGGAGGAGGAGGAGGAGGAGGAGGAGGAGGAGGAGGAGGAGAAAAAGGAGAAGGATGACGAGGAACAGGAGGACAAGGAGGAGTTATTTGGATGCGGGCTGACGACTAGGCTCAGCTCCTTTTTTTTACAGACGCCGACGAGCGACGTGGGGGCCAGAAGGGAACCGAAAGTGGCGAGGGACGAGACCCAGGACCCAGAACGGAACCGACAGAAAAGACCGACCGAAAAACAAGGTTCGAAATCACGAAAGGCCACAG